CAGAAATTGAGATTTCGGGTAAGTAAGACTTGGCCCCCGGAATGGAAAATGGGTGCTGACGCACTGGTCCCACTTCTCTGACAACAAATCCGACCGGTACCCGGTAAGGCACAAAGAACCGGAATCAAAATTGGACGATTGCGGCCTACCGGTAGGCAGAGGTTTTGTTTCGTGGGAGGAGTGGCCGTTTAAGGTGGCATGGTTATCCATTCTCAATGTTGATAGAACTGACCGGCCCAAGATAATTCGGAAATTCACGCATTTAGTTTCATGATGAACTTACATCTCAGGCTTGGACCCCACAGGTTTCCGCCTTGGAAAAACTTTGCCGCGGAAAGTTTTCTGGTACCCCACAGGCTTGCGCAAAGTCCATGGAAGGCCGTTTTCGTTTTCCACAAGCCTGCTTCCGGAACCCCACACACCCGGAAACGCGACCTCGTAAACGCCCCCTGTCGTGTTTTCACTCGGTTTCCGACCTGGAAACCACCGCGGGAGGAAAAGTCGCCGCGATTTTGTGCAGGGTAGCGAGGGCATGGTGACCGGTAGCCTTCAACCTTTCCAAGGTCGCGGACGAAATGTGGACCTCCCTGTGTCCGTTCGCCATTCCGACGAGTGGGAATGCCACCCAACGCGTCTCCCCTTGGTCCTGCTTGGTCCTGCCCCAGACACCCGGACACCGCCCGACTTTCCTTTTCGGGTCCACCGCATGCTACCTTTCCCGAAAAGGAAAATTCGGCGCCCGCTTTGCCGCGAAACGCACACCGCTGTGCGGTCCCGGAAAAAGCATTTCCAAGGTTTCCGAAATCTTTCGCCCGTTTTCCAAGGGAAAACTGCTTTTCCAGGCGGAAACCTGTGGGGTCCAAGCCTCAGTTGAAACGTGTATCAGCCTTTTGGCGCCCACACAAAAATCCTGATAAAAAAAGGGATTTTTTTCAAAAAAGAGAAAACTAGGGCGCAGCCATGGTTTCAGTATCTAAATGCATTAAAAACTGCAGTTTATTATTCCAGTCCCGTGGGTAGTTTACTATGCAGTCTAAACTCCTCTTCGAAGAAAAGTCGCGCTGTGGAAATTGGAACTGCAGTTCAGTCAGGCAGGTGGCCTTTTTTTTTTTTTTTTTTTGGGTCGCGCGCAGCGCCGCATTTTTTCTTTTCCGTCGCACGCCATTTGGGTGGCTGGGAAAAAAAAAAAAAAAGCCTCATGGTCGGGCAAAGACCGAGATGTCTCAGCCAGACCCCAGATTGGGCACGGCCGAGATTTTTTTTTTGGGGGGGGGGGGGGGGAAGGCAGTGTGCGAACAAAAAAAAAAAAGAGAAAACTACGGCGCAGTCAGGGTTCGAGTTTGTAATTGCACTTGAGGCAAAAGGGCCGGTAATGGTGAATGTATATGACCTACGTTTCGGGTCCGGTGGGGTTGCGTGGGGGTGTGTTGTATTCGCGGGATTGCCTGAAGTGCAATTACAAACTGTTTTCGTGACCGCGCCAAAGTTACGCCCCAAAAAAAAAAAAAAAGAGAGGCCACCTTCCTGACTGTACTGCAGTTCCGAACTCCGGGGTGCTACTTTCTTGCAAAGCCGAGTTTCGACTGCATAGTAAACTTCCAACGGGACTGGAATTAAAAAACGCAGTTCGACATGCATGTAGAAACTGCTTTCTTGACTGCGCCCTAGTTACCCCCCCCAAAAAACAGAAAAAAAGTCCTGATCCTCATCCGATATAGGTTTTCCGTTTCTTCCGGGAAGCCTTCGGCAACCTCTGGTGGAGGACTGGAATGGGCCCTTGGGCACATCTACACGGCACACAATATGGAAGATACAACGACTTCAACAATAATCAAGGCTCCTCATGCGAGTCCATCAAGTGTTCCTGTCGTGAGCGAAAAATGTTTGTGATTACACAATTAATTGGGGACAGGAGACGCAACGACATCTTGTTACAACACAGCCTTGAGGTAGTACGAGTGAAGTCCACCAATAAAGGTCGATCGCAGAGACTCCATTAGTCTCCATAGTACCCGCAATGTAATTTGTCTGTCGATTATTTGAGCAGTCCAGTGTTTGTGTATAAGGGTCTCGTTAGACACTCCTAAAAGAATCCTAAATTTTTTAGGACAGTCCGAAAGTTTTTTAGGATTTTGTGCGTCGTGGTTACACGCATTCCTAAAAGACCATCGTTTAGGACCAGTCCTAAAAGAAAGTCGTAATTAAAAAGAAAAAAATAATAAAAAAAAGTCATGCTTTCAGGGTTTCAGCCAATAGGGTGCACCAGGAGTCCAAGACGACCGTGCCATCCGCACGTCGCATCCTAAATTCTTTAGGATTCGTCCTAACGCCGTTTTCACATTTTCGATCTCGAAATCGGATTTAGGGACGATGCAATCCTAAAAACAGGCATTTTTAGGAGTGTCTAACGAGACCCTAAACCTGGGCCCACCTTGATCCCGGGTATGGACGGAAGCTGGGATCTGGAACTGGGCATAAAAGAAAAACCCATCTTTGAACAGGGTGCAGGATCTGATGCTGCGCTTGGGGAAAATTCAGCTCAGTTGGTACGGCCATGAACTCGACCAAAAGGGGAAACCAAAAAAAAAAACCATGATGAAGTGTTGAAACAGAGCCCCCACTTCCATTTCCAATGGAATCAGATGAGTAAGACCACCTCTGAATTTACCTGGTGCGGGCCCGTCCAACGAAGCTGTCGCAAGGCCGTCCCCCTTCATTCTAAAACAGAAATTCCTCCACGCCTCCCCCCTCCCTCCCCCTTCTTGGTGCTCCGAAGTCCTTAACACCCTTTCTCCAGTTTCCTTTGATGCCTCGAACCTGGCCAACCCCTTCCGGCAATTACGCACGAGGACTTGCGTCTGAATTCCCTGAATTCGTTGACGCCATCCGTTCATCATTGGAATTCGTTCTACTCTGCGACACTGTTCTGAGTGTTCTCTCACCCTGGTTACTTTCTTTTCTTCCTCAGGCTCTCTCCCCGTTTTAAACCGTGGTCACTTTCCCCACGGCAAAGCCAGTTCTGTTCATTCGCTTTTTCGTTTGCCTGAATTTTTTTGCCAAGATATGCTGCTGCGATCTCTATCTCCTGAGCCTCGTCCAATCGGTTCCTGTATGCATCCCCCCCTCCTTACGTTTCCTAACGAATCCTAAGGCCTGCAGTGTCGGGTTCGCTCAAGACTTGCCTCTCTGCTCTCGCCACACGACCTCCCTGCACTAGTCCTCGGAGTACACCTTTCTCTCTCGCCTGTTCCATCCCACGTTCAATCCCGTCACCGGCAGAATCTTACCACGTCAGCATCAAGCAGGACCCCAGGTGCTGAAGCTTCCCACGGTCTGCCACTTCAACAGCAGCCTGAGAATTCTACAAAATCGTAGGCTCGAAGAGCGAGACTCGCGAGGTTATTGGGTTCTTATTTCAGTTTTGGGTTGCTAAGGGGGGGGACAATAATTCGAGCGTAAAAGTCCTCACTGCTAAGGGAGTGGCAGAGTACTAACCAAAGGGTATCATGGGAGACTGCGCCAGGAGCGGCGGCGGAAGCATCGCAAACCGGAAAAGAATATATCAGTCTGCACAGTCAATTCCCTGGCTTCAGGGTAATCAATGCTGTATAGGTAGGATGAAGCCAAGAACGAATGTCTACGGCCTTTTTTTCAACCGAACACAACGCACCCTCATTATGGCTGTACCGGACCGGAAAGATAGCTCGCACACATTCATTATCAGGGTGCGTTGTGTTCGGGGGAAGGCGATAGTATTGGGCCCCCTTACGGATGTTCTCGTCCAAAAACAAAAAAGGACGAGCTCGCTCGCGCTAGTAGTATGAGCCACGCCCACATGCGGATCAATACGAGGATGCCGAGATAACAACTCGTTAAGCACCCACCTCACCAATCCAATAGCTCATCGGTCAGCAAATACGTGCAGAACAAGGCAGTGATGTCACGTGAAGGGATCCGTTCAAACCAAAAACCCCCCACGGCCTCTCTGTCCGACTGTCTGTCTCTCTCTCTCTCTCTCTCTCTCTCTCTCTCTCTCTCTCTCTCTCTCTCTCCTCACTCTTTCTCTCGCTCTCTCTCTCTCTCACACACACACACACACACACACACACACACACACACACACACACACACACACACACACACACATATGCGCAAACACACACACACACACACACATATGCGCAAACACACACACACACACATGCGCAAACACACACACACACACAAGTACAAGTACAAGCGGGCACATACACACTCCCATCACAGAGACAATCAGGCAAGCAAGCAAACACAGAAGTCCATGAGCTAATCGCGCCGATAATGTAGAGGCGAACAGCTGCGTACCTCCAATATAGGAAGCCTTTTTCACAGCCAGTACTGTACCTTGATAGTGACGGCAAGCAGAGAAAACAGACAGCTTGAATCCGACTAAGTCCCAGCCATTGACAATGAGTCAACAGGAAAACAAATTACAACTACGCATAGTTGAGAACATTGACGGACAACGACAAATGACTCTCACGGCAGCGCGCACATACGAAAAGGAAACGGAAGCACGAGAACCACTCATTCCGACACAGAACAGTCCCAATCATCCCAAGTTCCAGCTCATTTTCCAAACGTACAGACGACAGAGTAACACTCGTTACTCTCCACACAGAACAATGATCGCGCTTCCGGAAAGAACACAAACATTATGACGATTCCAAATTCCAATCAATCAAATCGATACGGGAGGGAAACCGTTAAACCCCAATGGAATTAAACTGTCCGACCGCCTATTACTAACTCGTCTTCAACCAAATGCACAAAGGCAAACTACGGATGCCACAGCCGTTGACACTCCGAGCTGCTGTCTGAACCTGACCCTACCTCCTAGTACAGACCTAACCCTCTCTCATCCGAAGCAAATGCAGAGAAACTCTGGCTATGGATCACCTACTGTTCTATTCTAAGATGGCCTATGCGATCAACCGCCTGCCTCCACACGAGGCTTGGAAGTCGCCGATGCAGATTCCTATACAGTTAACTAGTAATGAATTCCACACTTTAGTACTTGTAGTCCTTAACGTGCAGACTCTCGGACGCTCCCTCGATCGCAGGAGCGCCACTGTATTTGCCGAGCGTCGCCTCCCCGTTGCCCTTGGCGCGCACACAGAACGCCTTCTGGGCCGCCGCAACGTTCTCCACCTTGCCTCCCCACGCCTTCAGCGTGCTCGCCTGCAGCGCCCTCCCGTACGAGAAGGACAGCGTCCACGGCTTCGTGGCATCCAAGGCGTTCATCGCGTTCAGATTCAGAGTCGCCTCCTCCTCGCTCTGCCCGCCCGACAGAAACATGATCCCGGGAACGGCCGCGGGAACCGTCCTCTGCAACGTCCTCACCGTGTACTTACCCACGATCTCCGGCGCCACCTTCGCAGCGTCCGATCCCGGCGTCACCATGTTCGGCTTCAGCAGCGTGCCCTCCAGCAGCACGTGGTGGTCGCTCAGAGCCTTGTACACCGCCGCCAGCACCTTCTCCGTCACCGCCGCGCTCTTCTCGATGTCGTGCGTGCCGTCGATCAGGATCTCCGGCTCCACGATCGGCACCAGCCCGTTCTCCTGGCAGAT